GTTGTGGTCTTAAAGAAGATGTAGTGACAAAAATTGAGAAAAGTATGCTGAGATGGTTTGGCCATGTTGAAGAATTAATGAAGAACGATTGACGAAAAAAGTGTATAAGGCGAGTGTGAATGAAATTGTTAGAAGGGGTAGGCCTAGGCGGACATTTCTAGACCAAATCAGGGACGTCTTGAAAAAATGCCAGGTCAAGAGTACCCTAAACCGTAGAGCATGTATGAAGGGAATAATGAAAGTGGACGAAGCGAAACAAGTATGTAAGGATCGTAGCAAGTGGAAAGAAGTGGTCTCTGCCTCCCCTACGGGAAAGAGGCGTGATTATATGTATGTATGTATATATAAGTGATTACACCCTTTCGAGTTTATATCTTCTTCTTCTTCTTCAGTGCTGTCATCTATACCCTCGTTTTTTCGAGCTATCACAGGATCACACTTACCAGTGCTAATGTTATGTATACAATATATTTACGTAGAATAGTATTGTCCTTCAAATATCTTGTGTGATGAATGGATAAGTTGTCAATCTGAAAAAATAATTTGAGCGAATGTAACTATTTTTCGTAGGCCTTCCCGTTAAGTCTTCCCCTGACTTCTATCCATATTTTTTATGTTCGGATCTCCAGGAAAACTACAAAAATGGTTTATGTAAATAAAATAATATATCTTATATACAATAACACCAATAGTTGTAAATAATACAGTGTTGGTAAGCCAACACCAGACAAGAGCAAATTTAGAAAAAAATATATAAAAACATATTATGAAATATAATTTTGTACTTTTCACACAAATTGAGTCTACCCAATCCTTTTTGGGTGATTGAGCGTGAAGTGGACATACAGTATGTAGTAATGGTACGTAACCAAAAGATTCAATCTAAAAACTAAATTTAATATCTATCGTTGAATCTATCGGTATTTATCATTGAAAATTTTCAATGATAGATACCGACGAGAGGGAACAAAATTATAATTTATTAAAAAAAATGTTATAAATCTTATTCGTGACTCACTTAGTTATTATTTTTACCTATCGCATCTATTTAGCTTGTCATTATACCAAGTACAATTTTAAAAGCGCCAATATTTCCCGGTTTACCGGTATCAGTAAAATATTCTTACATCCCTAATACCGTTTTTTTTTACATATCAATATTTATTTATATTTGTTTCTAATATTCACAAAATATAAATAGTTTCGACTTAGTGGTGAAAGGATATACCACTTTTGTTCAAGTTCCATATCCGGCTGTTTTTCCGATACGTAATTATCGCACAATTCGGCAATTTTTGAAAGCATTCGCGTGTTCCACCACGCTCCACCAGCCCGTGTTTTATTTATAATCTGAGGACAGATTTATAACAGTAGCATAGGTAGATTGCAAAACTATCAGGATATTACGTGATAGAGCTACGCTGTAGCTATAATATTATTGTAGCACGCATGGGTCGGCTCGCCGGGCGAAGAACCAGGCTCTCACAGAATACTTGCGTAAAATAGCAGCTTAATGCTGCTGTGTTTCGTATGGTGGATGTAGAGAACCGGAGACTTTTCTTACTGGAAATGAGGCATTCCACATTAGTCCACAGGGGTGACAACGTATCTGTATTTTGATTCTTATCGAGGATAAATGTAGATGTCTATGAGCCGCAGCATCCACTTACCATCAGGTGTGCTCATTTGTCTCTGAAACCAGTTATTGAAGTAGAAAAAGTGCACCAGTTTATGCCGTAAATACAACACCTTGAACACCGAGTGATGTTTGCTTTTCATTATAGCATTTATAATAATACAAAGGGAATTTGTAAAATTTATCACGTCGATCAAAAGCGAAATATTTTTCTAATTATTTGAGAATTCGTTTGAACACTTTGTCACAAATTTGTTATAAACCAATATGAATTACATGCAATACATAAGCAGTTAGAAGTAAATACAACAAAACATTAAAATACGTGGAGTAGAGTACCTATGCAAGTGCAAACCAACATCTTATATCTTATATATATAGGAAAATACTGCCTGTCACAATGTGACACAGTGCAGCGTCCAGGGGGATGTACATAAACTTGTAGGCTAGTTTTGTTCAGCGTTGTAGAGATGTCGTTAATTAGGCCAAGACACCAAACTCCAAAGCCCAAAAAAAACTAAATCTGTGGCAGTTTTGGTCTATGGTTGTGGTTAACACTTGGTTATGGAGTGTAGAGTAGAAGGAGGACCATCTCTATATATGAAAAGTGTCCCTAAAAACGCGTCCAAGAAGGGTGGCGCTGCAGTAGTATAAGATAAATTAAAAAAAGCGCCAAAATATTTAAAATAAGATGGAGAAATAAACAAGGACCGATCAATCCGCTTGGTTTTGTACTACGTAAATAGTTGAGGTTTTGTATACTGGCATTTTACTAACTACTCTAGTCATGAAATTTTTTAAATATTGGAATTCAGCTGACTTCACTCCGTTCACAACAGTTATATTCATATCGTAGTTTTTCAGACGTAAGCGCTGTTGTGGTAGGTTTTGGAACCTCTATTTTCAGTATATAGTGGGACACTTTTTCAACTTTCGCACCTTATAAGATGGTTCTCCTTCTACTCTACACACCATACACTTGGTTTACAGTTCTTTGTTTCAAATACCTTCCTGTATAGGACTGTTCCTTCTATAAATTACTATACTCTTTGACTGTTCCTATACTCTTTGACCTAAATCCCGTTGGTGCTCTCTTCGGCGGGAACTTGACCGGCGGCGGTTTGCTGCTCCTGTATTATTGTTTAAATAATGGTTTGAAGTGGACTTTGATATGTAAAAGTGGTGCGATTTTGTATATTAAGTGTCTGCGCATGTGAACTATTAGTGGAAACTGTGAAACAAGTGCTCTGATGGTGATGTGATTCTCAAAATAAGGTAGACACCTCTGCTTCTGCGCTCTGCGTCTGCTTAAGCGCCTTGAGATACCATCGCCAACTGTCAGCTGTCTGCTGGCTCAAGTTGGCGTCAAAATTCCCCAAGGGCTGCACAATGTGACGCATCAACATATTGTGAAGGCGTGTACTATGAAGGATAATTATTATAATATATTGTAACTTCAGGCTCAGCAGGGCTAGATCCCAGAGCCGTAAAGCTAGTTGTGAAGAAGAAGAAGAAGCTTGTTTGAGTTGTTTTTGTTGTACCCACGGGCAGTAAGTAATCTTCATAGAGAAAAGACTGGACATGGGAAACGTCATAGCAAGATGATATATGACAGCTAACATCCCCCCTCGCCTCTCAACATCACTTCTAAGCATGAATAGAGCAGACTACTCTATACTCCATGCTTCTGCAAGCTGTCGCGGCCATATTATTATTGTTTGTTTGGTTATGTCATTGTCACTGAGTACTGAGTGATATTACATGGATATTACCGATAAATTTTCGTGTGGTGTCGTTGATTTATTTTCGCCCTATCTTTGCATTTACTTGTATCAACCGATTGCCTTACTGAATTGAAGGATCAACATCTACTATTAAAGTGAAAATAGTAGTGGTGAGACTGGACTTATTCCACTAACATTAGTCTCATATGAAGAGGCTACATTCAGATCTGCTCTTAAACTACTGCAAGAGGAAACAAGATTAGTTCAAATACGAGAAAATAAAAACATTGGTAGGTACAGTTAATCAAAACCTTACCGCCATGTTTACATTTAATGGAATTGCCTTATTATTATATGTTTTATATTTTTAGATGACCTGATATATATAAGTGGTATTTATATGCTTGTCATATTTGATCCACCACATTTAATCAAAGGAATGCGAAACAATTTTTAACAAAAAATGTACAATACCAAGAAAAGATTTCTACATGGACAGATAAGAAAGACTGTGAACATACAGAAACACGGTTATTATACAAACTTAACGACAAACATGTTTTTCCTGGAAAAGAAAATTAATGTATCAAATAATTGTAATTATATTTCAATTACATGTAATTTAATTTTTGTATGTGTAATACACGTTTTTCTAATCAAATTGATATGAATTATTTACAGGTTAAGAATTATGTTCCTGTATTTAGTAAAACCGTGGAAAACACCCTTTAATTATACCTCTGCATTTTGTAAGTTACCATATTAATTATTTGATTAAATATATTACCATAAAACTGAAGTATTTTACATGGCTAGTGGTGAGAACCAGATACCTTTTTACTGGTAATAATGCATTCTTTTATCTTCAAGGATGACAATGCACTTTGATACTTAATTGAGGATTAATGTAGGTGTCTGTTGACCACAGCACAGCAGTAACTTAAAAATACTGTATAGAGTACCTAATTTATTTAATAATATTCCAAATATATATTACAGTTCATTATTCGGTTGTGCGGCCAGTGAGCAAAACAGAAAAATACTGCAGAAATATTATCTTTCATGGATGAACTATTTGACAGTGTGAATGGAAGCTTTGTTGAAACTACAAAATTTAAAATTTGTTAAATAAATGGTCATGCATGTACAGATGTAAAGGACTGAATGAGTACCATAAAAAGTATTATGAAATTGTGACAGTGTTTGTCCAAGAAAAATATAAAAATTATGAGATCCTGCTATATAAATTCTGAGACAATCGAAAAAAATGTAAAAATAAAGTTAAAAAATGTAAAAAGTTAAAATGACGACTGTATAATAATAATTAAGTTATTATAATTTTTTTAAGAATGTATGTTTTAATAAGTTAATTATTAAATTTGTAAACAAAATTATTGACAAGTAAATATTAAGAACTAATAAAAAAATAGTAAATTTCAACATTGTTTCATTTGTATTTACCTCGTTTTTTTTTTTTGCAATATAATAAAATTATTTTTTCAAGTGGCTATTATATGACCTTTGCCTGGTGTAGCTGCTTCAAATTAAAAAGAAAAGAAATGTCATATATCATTTTGCTACAACCAATCAGAACGCAGAAGCTAAGTCGAACCAGTTTAGAAGAATTAAGAAGAAGAAGTAGTTCTGGTATACAGTAATCTGTGTAATCTACTAGGTCTGTCTGTGGCGTAGAGGGAGTATGTACAATGTATGTAGTTCATGCTCTCTCTACGGTCTGTGGCTCTGTGGTTGTACCTATCTTCTTCGAACAATGAGTTTTGGCGCGAACTTGACAGGCGGCGGTTTGCTGCTCCTGTATTATTGTTTAAATAATGGTTTGAAGTGGACTTTGATATGTAAAAGTGGTGCAATTTTGTGTATTAAGTGTCTGCGCATGTGAACTATTAGTGGAAACTGTGAAACAAGTGCTCTGATGGTGATGCGATTTTCAAAATGAGGTGTCTGCCTGCTTAGGCGCCTTGAGATACCATCGCCAACCGTCAGCTGTCTGCTGGCTCAAGTTGCCGTCAAAATCTCCCAAGGGCTGCACAATGTGACGCTTCAACATATTGTGAAGCAGTATACTATGAAGGATAATTATTATAATATATTGTAACTTCAGGCTCAGAAGGGCTAGATCCCAGAGCCGTAAAGCCAGTTACTAAGAAGAAGTCTTCGAACATTGATATAAGCACGATATAAGAAATTCGAACGTTCGACCAGATTTATCCCCTGTACCCGTGTTATCTGCTTTTGACGTTCCCGTATAGGACAATTACTATAGTCTTTGTTTTGACGATTGATCCTTCTCTTGCCAACTGGACTCTGCCGCTGCCAACTTATTGACCCTGCTTTTCCCTACTGGACTTTGTTTACCGCAACTTGTATAAATGCCGAGAAAATCAGCAATAAAGTGTTATTTTGGATGTGCGAATGCAGGTATGATCATTAATCTTTGAAGTTCAAAAATTTAAAATAAGAGTTCCCCAATAGTGCTTGTGGAACCCTAAAATATTCCTTACCATACTAATAACAAATTGGTATTCAATTTATCGTGTCTTATGTCAATAAAAACTTACTATATAAAAGTTTCAGGCCCTTTTCACCAATTCCCGAAACCAGAATACCCAAATTTGGAGAAATTCGAACAGTGGAAAATGGTTTTGAATGAAGATATGAAAAGAAAAGGGGATTCTTTCATTTTTAAGAATATAAGAATATGTGATTGTCACTTTGAGGAGTTTTACCGTTCTGCAAGTAAACGACTCACCAGAAATGCTGTACCAACTTTGAACTTATGTAAGTACCTCTAACTTGCTCAAGGTTTTACTATACTTCTCTAAAAAACAAGCATGACAGAAATATGAAAGTAAATAAATTATCAGTCATATACAGTTTGTACCAAATGTTTGCTAACATGTTTATATAATTATTAAACATCAAGATGAAGCATGCGACTTGATCTGCATGGATTAAGGTAGTTTTGATTCCTGTGGGAATAAAACCTAGCTTTCATACTAAACTTCTGAGATAAAAGCTAGCCTTTGTGAAGATGCTAATAAAAAACTACAAATCACTATTATAATAAATATGAAAGTTTGTTACTCCTTCATACCACTACAGTTGAACAGATTTGGCTGAAATGTAGCTTAAATGTAGCTCAAGAGAGGACTGTCAAAACTACTTGTCGCATTTTTTTGATCAAAAAGCCCAAATCTAGATTTTTACAGCAACGGGGTTATGTCACTACCTACAAGACTATCAAGTTATCGAACAAAATGGCACATATATATTACAATTAAATGTAATTAAACTTTGAAAAAGAAAACTGTCTTGAATTTGTATATAAAATACGAAGAAACTTTTTCCCTGACCTTATATAATATATTATACGATGCTGCTATTGAGGGGTTGTACTAATATGTGCATTATCTTTTTGTTGGTAGAAGTTAGTTGAGGTTGCAGCAAACTCTTGTAATAATGTCTAAACATTAACTAGCTAAAGCTTATTGGATCATTATCATTATCTTAACTCATGGCTGGCCCACTACTGGGAATGGGTCACCTCTCAGAATAAGAGTTATTTAGCATATAAAAATTAATGTTTGTTCGTATTTTATATGCTGCCATACCATTCATCAGATTGTGGGGCTGAAATTTTGTCAACTTATTGCTTACATTTGTGTGAGCAATAAGTTGACAAAATACTGGCATAGTACAATTAATTTACAGTAGGTGGCTTGTGTATAGTACCGGCAAATTTATTTGAAAGTTTTATAATATCATTTAAATTCAATGAATATATTATTATCATTCCTAATTAAACAATATAACTCTTCCAAATATAAAAAAATATTATTCCACAATTATTTCTTCTGTGGCAGCAACGCACCGGGTACCAGCAAGTTTGATATATAAATATATAGGGTCATATTTATTCAAAGGGCTTATTTGATAGTACAAATTAAAACAAACATTTTAATTTACTGTTTTTAATTTTTTAGCTTCAACTTCTCCAATAGTGCTTCAACCTTCATCTTCTGTTAAGACTGAAATGGATATTGATATGCAAATAGGAGACAACTTAGAATCTATCGAGTTGCCATATCCAAAACAAAAACTACTTCCTACAGGTGAATATTTTTAAAAATGGTAATATTTATACTAAACTCTATGGGTTATGAAGTAAATAAAGATGGGACTACAAAATATGTAAAGGTTCCATCAATTCATAATTGGATACATAATATCCATATAGTAAAAGAAATGTTTTCTTATTTAAACATCAAACACAGTTTAAGCAGCCTATTATTGAGAAACCCGAACCAGGATCCACTGGAAAATTTCTTTTCCAGTATCAGTATGGGATAAGAAATGTATCGCCAACATGCTACCAATTTACTGGAACATATAAAACTTTGTTAGTGAATAATTTAACTTCCCCTTAATCAATTGGTGCAAACTGTGAACATGACAATAACAAAATATTAAATGTGTAATTAATTCACAAAATATAAAAACAGGAGAGAAACCACAGTGGTAGAGCCACGCGGCAGCTTTTGCTGTCGCACGGATGGGCCGGCTCGAATCGGGGTGGTACCACGACCTCACAGAATACCAGCGTGAAGTAGAGGTTTACCTCTGCGTTTCGCTTGGTGAGTGCAGGTGGCCGGAGGCCCTTTTTACTGGAAATCAGGCATTCCATCTTAGTCCTCACGGGTGGCAACGCATCTGCATTTTGATTCGCAAACGAGGATAGATGTAGATGTCTATGGGCCGCAGCAACCGCTTACCATCAGGTGGACTGTGTGCTCGTTTGTCACCCTTATCCTATAAAAAAAAAACCAGATGTAGATATAAATGTGGATTCTACCAGAAGGAAGTTAGGGTAGTTTATTCTTTCTTTTAATTAAACTGTATGTCAATTAATTGCTCCTTAAATGCTCCAGCAGAATCCGAAATTGCTCCACCTCTATTGCTTTTAGTTAATTTATAATTTTTTTTTTTAAATTAACTATCAAAAATTTAATATTGCTATAAAACAAAAAATCTACTTTTTAAAATTAAACTGTATGTCAATTATTGCTCCTTAAACGTTCCAGCAGAATCCGAAAGTGCTCCACCCCTATTGCTATTAGTTAATTTATAATTAATTATTAATATCAATTAAAATATTTATTATCGTAATAATAAAATTTTACATAATACTTAAATTTTATCTACAATATTAAAAACTATGATAATAAAAAAAAAAAAACTAAAACTAGAAACTTAATTATCATATAGTCCGACTCCCCGCGGTATCGTGCCAAGAACGCTGGCTGCGTTTCCCCGCTGAATGGCTATACTTAGCCTTTGAGCGAGGAAAGAACCAGCCCTCTTATCACCAGCAGCAACGACCAGCCGCGGATGGAGTTCCTTTAGGAACTTCACCGCACGTGGACCCCACGGACCGATAGTCTCTACAGCAAATGGCACAAATATGTAGTCATCTCTCAGAGACTCATATTTGCGCCACTTACTCAGTTCAGCTGCCTCTGATGCCGCCCCGGCTTTAAACGAGGTACCCCTGAGATGAGAGGCCGCCAGAGTGTCTACGCAAGTAGCATCCCACACTAGGGCTTTACCTCTCTCCCAAGGGACCAATGTCATACCGTCGGGTCTCTTGCCATCGTCTCTAAATATTCCACAAGGCTCTAAAACCGAGGGAACATTTATAGAGGCAAGAGCCCTTCGGATGACATCGTTCAAAGAACTGTGTCGTGAAAACCTACCAGCGCTTTTCTTACATGAAAGTCCGTGGAGCCCAAACCTGTCGACGCTGCTACCACAGGGGCACTGATGGGGTAATTTAAAAAAAATTATTATCGAAAATTTTATTTTGCTTTAAAACATAAAATATCTATTTTTAAAATTAAACTGTATGGCAATTAATTGCTCTTTAAATACTCCAGTTGCATCCGCAATTGCTCTACCTCTATTGCTATTAGTTAATTAAAAATTAATTTTTAATAACTTTAACTATCGAAAATTTTATTTTGCTATAAAACATAAAATATCTACTTTTTAAAATTAAATTGTATGCCAATTAATTGTTCCTTAAATGCTCCAGCAGAATCCGAAATTGCTCCACCTTTATTCATAATTATCATTTTCATCATTACAGCCTTTCATAAGTCCACTGCTGAACATAGGCCTCCCCCAAGGAATGCTACAAAGCACGGTCCTGAGCCACCTGCATCCATCGACTTCCTGCATGTCTTACCAGGTCGTCACTCCATCTCGTGGGGGGTCGCCCTACACTTCGCCTACCAGTACGAGGCTGCCACTCAAGAACCTTTCTTCCCCATCGGTTGTCAGTTCTTCGAGCTATATGGCCGGCCCACTGCCACTTCAGCTTACTAATCCGTTGGGCTTCGGTTACCCTGGTTCTAATGCGGATATCCTCATTCCTAAGTTTATCATGCAGAGAAACTCCGAGCATAGCCCTCTCCATAGCTCGCTGAGCGACCTTGAGCTTCCTCATACGGCCAGCAGTGAAGGACCACGTCTCAGATCCGTAAGTCATCACTGGCAACACGCACTGGTTGTACAATTTCGTTTTAAGGTTTTGAGGTATGTCTGACGAGAAGATGTGTCGTAGTTTCCCGAACGCTGCCCAGCCGAGTTGAATCCGTCGATTGACCTCTCGGTCGAAGTTGGACCTAGCTAGTCGGACTATTTGTCCCAGGTAAACATACTCGTCACCAACTTCGAGCTTAGTGTCCCAACAACTACCGGCATAGGTGTGACATAGATATTAAACATAATCTTTGTTTAGTCCATGTTCATCTTAAGACCTATCAGTTGGGAGACATTATTGAGGTCATTGAGCATAGTGCTTAGGTCCTCCAGTGATTCTGCCATAAGGACTATATCGTCGGCAAATCGAAGGTGAGTGATGTACTCGCCATTGATGTTAATACCGTATGCTTTCCAGTCCAGAAGCTTGAAAACGTCTTCCAATGCAGCGGTGAAGAGTTTCGGGGATATAACGTCACCCTGTCTACCACCTCTATTGCTATTAGTTAATTTATATATTTTTTTAAAATTTAACTATTGAAAATTTAATTTTGCTATAAAACATAAAATATCTCCTTTTTAAAATTAAACTGTATACCAATTAATTCCTCCTTAAATGCTCCAGCAGAATCCGAAATTGCTCCACCTCTATTGCTATTAGTTAATTTATATTTTTTTTTTGATTTATAATAAAAAAAATAACTACCGAAAATTTTATTTTGCTTTAAAATATAAAATATCTATTTTAAAATTAAACTGTACGGCAATTAATTGCTCTTTAAATGCTCCAGTAGAATCCGAAATTGCTCCACCTCTATTGCTATTAGTTAATTTATAATTATTTTTTTAAATTTATAATTAATTTAATAAAAAATAATTATCGAAAATTTTATTTTGCTTTAAAACATAAAATATCTATTTTTAAAATTAAACTGTACGGCAATTAATTGCTCTTTAAATGCTCCAGTAGAATCCGAAATTGCTCCACCTCTATTGCTATTAGTTAATTTATAATGTATTTCCTTAAAATATGGTATGAAAAGGTTTTACAAATACTGTACAATTGAACAACATGTTTTGCTACAGTTACATATTATAGCATGCAAAGGTTTTGTTTTGTATGTTAAGGGTTATGATTAAAAAAGTCTATAATGCTGTAGAAATTATTCTTAGTTAGATATTCTTGTAATTTAGATTTAAATAATTTAGTATTTAACATTTTTAGATTTAGCACTTGTTACTATCCTGATCTGCGGCTTGTTCAGTCTCATTAAAACTTTGGTTAAGCGACTGTTTATTTCACGCAGTGCCTCCCTAGCTTGTCTACAGTCTACTAGATTTTTCCAAAGCTGAGCGTGTTGATTAGTGAAGTGTCTACATACCAGTGAACGAACGTTACCAAAGGGGATTGGTATGATTGGTTCAGGCCCTATAGCGGCCAGAGCCGATCCTCTTCTGGCCAGTTCGTCTGCTGCATCGTTGCCTCTGGATCCACTGTGTCCCTTTATCCATTGCAGAGTCACATTGTTGTTTTTACATACCTCATTTAATTGTTGATGGCATTCATATATAAGTCCCGAGTTCACTACATTGCAACTCAGAGCTTGTAGTACCGCCCTACTGTCGGTCAGTATTCTGATGGGGAAGTCATTAACCTTCCTAGCATCTATTGCTATGGCCGCTTGAATGATACCCATACATTCCACCTGAAAGACCGTGTTATAGGTACCCAGCGGTGTGCTTATGTGAATATTGAGGTCTTCAGAGAAAGTTCCAAAACCTACACCTTCATTTGTTTTAGAACCATCGGTGAAAACTCTAAGCTCTTTTGGGCTTAATCCTTCCGGCTGGCTGGTTTCATTTAATTGTATCTTGTACTTCTTATAGAAAACAAATTGTTTAGGAATCTTATCGTATTTGGCTTGTAGGATAGAAATTTTTGAGTGAATTCTATCAATTATGCCTGTATGAGGGACACTATTTTTACTCCAATGATTTAGGGTCTTGAGTCTGATGGCAGCTAAAGTCGCTTCTTGTTGTATATGTAGATGAAGCGGAGTTAGCTCCAGCATCGCTTCTGAGGCTGCTGTTGGCGTAGTTCTTATGCAGCCTGTGGCAGCCATACATGCCATTCTCTGGTAGCGCTGAAGCTTCTTAATTGTGGTGGCTTCATTTGTCTTGGTCCACCATACCAGAGCGCCGTATGTGATCATGGGCCGAATTACAGTTTTGTAAAGCCACAGTATGATTTTTGGCGTCAGTCCCCATCTTTTGCCAATCATGTTTTTGCATTGCCAGAAAGTTATACTAGCTTTGTTGATTTTGTTTTCTATGTGTTTATTCCAGTTAAGTTTGCAGTCCAAGGTGTAAGACCTAAATATTTTACCTCAGAGGATAGCTGGAGTTTTGTGCTGAAAAGACTTGGAAGATGATAGTTATTTAGCATTCGTTTTTGTGTGAACATTACTAGAACCGTTTTATTTGGATTGACGGTTAAGTCGTATTCCCTGCACCATCTCTCCACTATACGGAGAGCCGCTTGGGTCAGGTCGCACACTATGCTTGCTGTCTTTCCAGAGACCAGTATTGACAGGTCATCAGCATAACCTACTGTGTAGAAGTGATTGGCATTTAGTTTGCTGATGAGTTCATTAATGACCATATTCCACAGGAGAGGTGAGAGAACCCCACCCTGTGAGCAGACTGTCTTAATTTGGATTGGTTGAGATTCACCAGCAATCTTTATTATTCGTGTACTGAGCATGTATACTATCCAGTCGATCAGTGCCAGTTCAACTTTATGTCTACTGAGGGCACCTTTAATGCTGGAGAAGTTCGTTCTGTCAAAAGCACCTTCTATATCTATGAAGGAACCTAAACATATTTCTTTGTTTTGGATGGCCTCTTCAATCTTTGTAATTACCTGGTGAAGTGCCGATTCTGTTGATTTGCCTAGACTGTAGGCGTGTTGCTTGTCGTGTAGTGGTAAGTTCGTTAGCGCCGACCCCCTTAATTCCCTTTCACACATTCTCTCCGTCGTCTTTAGGAGAAAGGATGTGAGGCTAATGGGCCTGTAGGATTTAGGGTCAGTGTAGTCGCTCTTACCTGGTTTGGGTATGAATGTGACTTTCACTTTCCTCCATCCCCTAGGAACATATTTAAGAGCCAGACAGGCTCTCATTATGGCAACTAGTCTGACTATTAGGGCTTTACCACCCCACTGTAGGAGTGCCGGGAATATGCCGTCAGGTCCTGCCGCCTTATAGGGGAGGAAACTGTGAATGGTCCAATGGATTTTGTCCATCGTTACCACTCTCTGTGCTAAATTCAAGTCTTCTGCTGTTGATGTCAGTATGTCGTCATGCCGGTTTGCCTCCTGAGTTACGCAGCAACCTGGGAAGTGCGTTTCAATTAGGATGCGTTGGGCTTCATCCGGCGATGTTGAGTAGCTACCGTCGGGTTTCTTTAGAGAGATGGATCCCGACGTGTTCTGTTTAGCTAGAATATTCCTTATCCTATTTGGTTGTTCGCAGGTTTCTATGTTGCCACAGAATTTACGCAACCCAGTCAGCTGCCGTCGGGTTTCTTTAGAGAGATGGATGCCGACGTGTTCTGTTTAGCTAGAATATTCCTTGTCCTATTTGCTTGTTCGCAGGTTTCTATGTTGCCACAGAATTTAC